TTTTATTTTAAAAAGGTAAGTATAATAAAAAGATTTTAATAATAAAAAAATCAAATACCAAATAAAAATGTACACTTTGACTTATTTGATTATATTTGGTATTTGATTATACCAAATATATTCCTATTTAGTATATATACATTAAATACTTATTAAAGTATTTATTTGTTTTATTTATCAAAGTTAAGTATAGATTTGTTTATAGTATCAAATCATAAAAAAATATTAAATCCATATTGTTAAAAAAAAAATCATATAATTTTATAACAATTCTACTACACTATTGAACAATATTCATTTTTTATTATATAATAAAATAATAATTAAATATTATATGGTGAGCAACAATAAGTAAAACTGTTACTTTCTCTTATATCAAGGGATAAATTTATATGCTAAAATTAAATTTTTATTAGTATAAATATTTTAGTGAGATAATATATTAATTATTTTACAAGCTAGCCCTAACATGCTCATATTTAATGTTTAAAAAGATATAGAAAAAAACTTATAATAACTCTATTGTTTTTTAGACTTAAACGTTGATTAAAAGAGGTAAAAATTCCTAATTTTTTAGACTTAAACGTTGATTAACACCATAGATTGAGAGTCTATATTTAGTAAAATTCCTAATTGTAATAAAAAAATTATTTTTTGCTATATTTTAGAATATCTTTAAATTCATTATAAAAAAAAGAAAAAAAAAACTACAATGAAAAAAGCAAGTCAGCTATATATCGACTTGTTGTACTCCTCAAATCACATTCACAATTTGGCTACAAGGAAAGGAAACTCATTGATTAAAATATTATTTTGTCAGTAGTCTTAATGTACAAGAGACTTTAAGACTCCACTTGAATATTATAAAACTTTTATTGAACATTGTACAATTTTCGTGCGTATTATAAACTTTTATTGAATATTGCATTTTATAATATAATATTCTCCAAATAAATATATCTCGTGCTTCGCACAGGTCACCTACTATATATATCCCGTACATTATTCTTTATTCATGTATATAATTATAAACCTGGATAAATAACCTTAAAATTGTGCAACCCGGCATGGGCTCTGTACTAGTATTTTTTATTTTAAGTTCACTTTAACTTAATTATCTAAACCGGGGGTTGGACGGGTGAACCGGATCGTACTGCCGGGTCCGGTGATTGAAAACATTGCTCAGAATAGTTGATCTCCACTACTCGAGCGTTCAGTCGCTCACAGAAATGACGACACCCATTCACGAAACCACAGCTCAGTAGAGCGGCCAACCAAAGCAATATATTTTCCGTTGAAGCTCTTTCCTTTTTGGTTTCAGCTACAGCAAAACCAATCACCGATCGATTATTGATCGGTGATCGAACGTTGCGGGATTAGGTAATTCCTGTGTTAGGGCTTTTAATTTTATCATTAGTTCCGCTTTGGTCCTGCTATGCATGGGAGAGAGAAAGAGGAAAGTTGGTCCATTAGTGCTTGACTGGGAGATACTACTTCCTCACTGCGAAAGCGAGCCTCCGCCGATTGTGGTGATTGAGGCGGAGGAATCAAACCCTCAAGCGGCGGAGGTGATGGACCAGGAGGAACAGTACGGTGACCCAAGTCTCCATAGTTTGCCTGATAAAGAGCTGAGGGACAGGATTGATAGGTTCAGAAATATGTTGAGTGGTGGTGGTGTATTGTGCAAGTTGGCCGATGGTGGTGAGAAACTGCGAGTTAGTCTGAAAAAGGCTGAAGCAGAGTTGGAGAGGAGGAACCGCCGGAAGGTCCGCAACTTCAGCACATATTATTTTACGAATTTATCTATTTCTCTTCCTTGCCTGTAAGAGCTGGAATTACAATATTATTGGATCTTCTTTAGTATTGTATTAAAGTGTTGCTATTGCACAGAATATCATTCAGATTAGGGATAAGGACATGTGATNTATTTGGATTTTCTTGAAACAAAATGCTATTATTAATTTTTTAATGATGAATACTCTGATTTTACCACTAGATATTTGGATTTTCTTGAAACAAAGTGCTATTATTAATTTTTTAATGATGAATACTAGTATCATGAATTGATGCCAAGGTGTAATGAGCATGATCGTCATTGCCTTTGTGAAACCTTGTTTAGTTTGGAGTTAGGTGTATCATACATATTGTTCTATGAAGATTCTGAGGTTGTCTTCCTGTTACTTATATGTGCTTTGGTCTTTTGTATGGGAACATTAATTATAGCTTGTGTCTTTGTGATGATAATTACTGCACAGGTTAACGACAAATGCAAGAACGTGGCTCCATTAGCTGACCACTCAATCTCTATTGGTGAGATTTTACGTGGCATTAGTCGTTTAGTATTTGATCTCTGTCTTCATTTCAATTGAGCCTGAAGATGATGGCTATATTTTATAGTTCTGGAGAACTTTGCTGGGTCTTAACAACAGTTATACTACTACAAGTCTACATGTAGAACGAACACTATCAGCATTTGTTTCTGTAAAAGCCACATTGTCTTAGCAATTTGCACCTTGTTTGAATTCAATTACATGTTCAATTTATGAAGCTTTTTTTCTAAAATATATGAGACAGATACACAAGGGAATGTGGCTGATTTTGTGAATTGCAAGGTTTTGACAAATTGGGTTGGCATGTTGTCTGAGCTTCATTTAATGGTCTGGGTTTCATATCAGCTCTTAAGAGCTTAAAGCTTAATGTATGTTGTAGGTACTACTGATGACGTTGCATCTCGGGGTGGTCCTCCTGTGTCAAGATCGGAGTTTGCTTCACATTTTTGCGGCAAGTTGGATGCAAAAGTATTGACTCTATTGTTAAGTTATTCACGTAGTAGTCTCGACGGAGATAAGTCTGATCTCACACCTCCTTTTGTTTATTGTTCAAACAGAGTCCAGCCAAGTCTTTCTCAGGAGAATTATCTACTCTTAATCCTTGTAATCCGAAAAGGGAAAATGAGTCATTGTTCGCTCAGAAGACAGGTTTATCTTCAAGGGAAAAACCTTTTAAATCTCCTAATCATCTTTCAGTACTGACAAATGGCTCTTCTCAATCAATCCGTAAGCAATCAGGAGGCTTCTCTTCTTGTTCCCCGCCTTTTCGGTCTAAGAAAGATTACTCTAACTATCATGAGAAGAGGTATTATTTGTGTAGTGATTTTATTGTTGTTTCTTGACTTGCAGTTGGGAAAGAGTGATATATGATGTGCAAAAGTATGATATTCTTAAGTTGATTTATTTTTATTTCTAGGGAAAATGCTACTCGTTTTCAACCTATCCGAACCTCCAAAAGGAACAATGTAAGTTCACCAATCCTGAGTTGGCTCTCTTCCCTGCTTTTCCACAATCCTTGGTTTATGTTGCCATTTTCTACTGCTGAAAACTTGTTGGCTGCAGCTTCCAGTATGTTTTTTTGCTAGAGAATGATCCTTGAGATGAAAACTGTAAAATGGCCTTAGTAGAATTCAAGTTATAGAAAATGTCAGTCTCAGATGCATCCGAGGATAAAACTTTT